TTGAATATCTGGTGAAAGAGCTGCTGGGACAGGATTTGCACAAGTTAGTGCTGACTTCTCCAGCCTCAGGCTGCAGCTCTGCTCTGTGACATTGCCTTTCCCTTCCAAAGCTGAATTATCTGTCACAGTAAAATGCCTCCTGTACTGAATAAACAGGGTATTATATGTATATTAAATCTGTGTTACTTTCAACTTGATTTGACCAGTTTATGGACTACAGAGTTTCTCTCCATCTTTCTGCTGACTCCACAGAAATATTTTTTCTTATTTATCACAGTTCAGTGTTATTTAATGGTTTTAACACAATCTCTCCATCAAAGATAACTTTGCAATCTGATTACATCTTGTAGGAAGCCCATGCGTAGCAAGCAATGGTAAACTCACTGAAAAGTCCTTACAAGCTGCAATGCTTGTCACCACAGCATGTGGATAAATTTGGGTGCTTCTACCTAATTTCCAGGTTGTTGGCAGACCTAACAGGGAGACGTGTGGGGTCAGCACAGACATATCCTTTAGAAGGAAAACTTTTTAAGTTGTAAGAAGAGCTTGAAATTTCTCAGAATGATTTTATCTATTGGAATAAAGGGAACTGCATATAATTGACAGGGTCCCAACATCAAAACTGTGGCTTCTTAAGAGTTTTACTTCCTATGTGCATTCACATAATATGATATTTGTATTGACTTTCCAAAACACCCCGAGAAAATGGCATTGTGTATCCAAGGAAAAGGCTGCAAGACAGAATCTTTCAGCTGAGGCCTGACTGCATTTGTCCTCAAAGAAAGCTGACAAAAGAAAAGAGAGACATGGATTAGGGATGGATTTTTCTAAAAATAGTAATCATGAGTCAAATTCCCTTCAGTTTACAATAGGAAACATCATCTTGCTTCCTTGCCAACAACTCTGAATTTGTAAAATCCTGCTGGTCTTTAGACAAGGACTGACTCTTGATGACCTGCAACTGTCAATGCAGCACTGACCTGAGCTTCTGCACTGAGCACACATCAAGGGACGATCCTCAGTTAAGGAACTCCTCACCTGTGAGTCTGGGGCTGTTTTCAGTGTCTTCAGCCTTTACCAGCATTCCTGGCATCACTGAAAATATTCAGTCTTCCCTTAAAAATTTCGTAAATGCTCCTTCAGCTAGGAGAGTAGAATTGCCAAGAACTTTATAATGTTTCTTTTCTTTCTCTCTACAAATACATTAATGCAGCTGCCTAGTGTGACATCCTCTGTCACACTTTGCGAGTTCATTTTGGAAGCAAGGTAATGACCTGCTTTTCCTTGTAGCAACTTTTTTGGTGGCAGGGGATCCTTTCCCTGCTGAAGTCCCAGCACCCTGTAGATCTGTGCTTTCACTCACCATGCTCAAAGCTGATACTTTCCAGTGATTATTATTGCCCTTTTTTCAGTGCAGTGTTAACCCTTTCATCACACTCTTCACCTAGCGGTCTCCTCTGCCATTTAACAGTTCTCACTGCCCATCAATTATCCGTCATTGTCCTTTCAATTAGAATTTCATGATTTTACTAACAGCTTCCAATTCATATGGTCCTAAGCTCCCTTTGGCTGTGAGAACTAATAAACAAGGATAGAAGACTTGTCTTCTTCCATTTTGCTTCATTCATTTTAGGAGAAACATGCATGAAAAAGACAAATGCCATGTTTTCTGTTACTAGATACTAGTTCTTTCCTCCTTGGTCTTTCCTTTTAAATATCATCATGAGAAGTGATATACTTCAACTCTTTTAGGCATACTTTGATGATATTGCAATATGCAGTTTATGGAAAAATCAAATGACAGTTTTTATGTCAGCAGCACTTTGCTATTTCCCTACTAAAAAGCAACACTTAATTTTTGAGTTGAACATTTGTAGCAGTGGTCGTGGGCAGAGAGTCTGCTTATTTATTTGGTTGGGTTTTACTACAATATACTGTCATGGCAACTGCTGTAAGGGCCAGTGCATCTGGAAGTAATTCGGACACATCATGTTGAATGCAGCAAAATTGCCTTGTACCATTTGAACTTTTTCAACCACTGGGCAAGGGAAAAGTTACCTCTTTGAGACTCCAAAGCAGCTTCTCCTTACTAAACCAACAAATATGTGGCAGAGCACTAGGAGCAATACCAATAATTTCTTGATGTTTGGATGCTGCACAGTTAAATTAGGTCCGATACCTTGGGTGTTTTCTCCAGTTCTGCTGATGCACAGCAAGTTTTCCATCCTGCTCTCGTGGAGGCAGAACATTATGCCCTGTCCAGGTGCTGTTTGGGAAGGCATTGGCCAGACTAGTCTCCCTTGGCTCCAGGAGGCATTGCCACATGCTGCCCAGGCAAGTGCCAGATCCTCTCATCCTGGTGATGATGCGGCCCCCAACTGTTCCACTTTACATCACTGCAAGCATGGAGAAACTCCACCAAAATCCACTGACCAAGCACACAAGTGGCATTAGAAGGGACTAAATTGGGCCAGTAATGAAATTTCAAGCATAACATGCCTGACCTTTGCTACATGGTCTTGATGACCCTTCTCCAGCCAAGATGTGGGCACTGCTTGATAAGCCAGAAAGCTCCAGCTGCCCCAGCACAGCCTCTTCAACACAGCAACTGGGACTCATCTGAGAACTTGGCCTTGAAGCATCTCTCTTAGTAAATAAACCAAAAGAGCTATGAAATCCTGAATTACAGCTGGTCAGAAATGATTGCAAATCTGATAGATTTATCTAGCCTTATCTTGGTGCTAGCCGGGAGAGGAAATCTTAAACCTTTGAGCTTGTGTGTGACTGCAGCCATTGCCATCTCACCACTGAGGGTTCTCAGCAGCTTCTCTGGACAGGGTTGCCTCAGGTAGCGTGGAGTGCCCAGCCCCAAGGTGTGTGGGCACCTGCCCTGCTGACCCAGCCTCACCTCGAGGTACCGCACAGAGCATGGGCATCCCCAGTCCAAATCTCAGGTGGCTGATACCTGCACACTGATTGCTTTCAGATCACACATTCTCCACCGGGGACAGCTCAAGTGTACAGCAGCTGCATGGCAGGAACAACTAGTGAATGAAATCCTACCTATGCTCATAGACAGTATATCTTCAGATGAATTAGTGCAGTAACAACCTGCACTAAGGATCTAATTATGGCTAATTTTCCATTCATTTGTATCAGTACTTCTGACCCTTTTACTGCAATTCTTGAGCATTCACAACAGTGATCAGAGATTTTCAATGATTTAACTCTAAGGGTCAGCTCTTTAGCTGGTGTAAATCAATGCATTTTCTTCGGCTTTGGAGCAAAGGAGGTGTGTAACTTCTACTGTGGAGAGAGCAGTCGGAATTCACTGAAATGCTACAGCCTGGCAGTGCTTTGCACCTGTTTGTGCTCACCAGCCCTTGGAGAAAGAATCAGTACATTGAATATTTCTGGATATTATTATATTTGGATATATTATTATTTGGATATTATTTTGGATATTACTCAGTCCTCTACAATTAAAATCAGCATGCATGTACTTTAAAAGAAAATACCATTAACGAAAGTACCCAAATCAGGTCTTCAAGATCACCTGAATTGTAAAATTAGAGACAGAGACTTCTGGCTTGTGACAGCCTCATTTAGGAATTGAGGCTAAAAGGTCACACAAAAGGAATTTTGCCTCAACTGTCAAAAAATTCAGCTGAGCCTTAATTTATTTTTTTCCTAGAAGTTTTGGATCTTTGGATCTTTGGTTTGATTGCTATTTAAGACAGAAAGAATTTGCACAATCTAATGAAAAAGGTAATGGGTGGAGACTTAATTGGTAACATTTATTTAATAAAGCAGCATAACTGAACATCCACAAAACTTTCGATCAGCTACTGAAACGAGAAACAGTGAGCAGATGTTCATTGCCAGGACTGCAGATTTCAGGAGTGTGCCCCAAATGCAAGCTAAGCAAAAGCCATAATATTTTCTTTTCTAGAAAACACTGCATCTTTTCTCAGTACTTGTCTGGCTCCACAGAGAAAGGATAGACTGGGAAAACAGGAACTTATGGGGACATGCCAGCTTTTATTTGCCATGGGAGGTTAAAGGTTCCCTAGAGCACAAAGGAGCTTTTCTTGCCCAGACAATCCCATCGTGGTACACATCAGCACAACTAAAGTTGCAAAGCTCAGCAGCAGTCAAGAGAGATCTGCTGAACTTGAGCTGAAATTTTTTCAAACATTCACTAGTTTTTCTTCACATGCATCTCCACATCAATAGCTGGCAATATGCATCCACTAAAAAAATATAGCAGGATCTCTGGTTTCTGTTAAAGCAACACACATAGAATCTCCAAATATCCTTCCAGCATAAAGCCCAACTTCTTTGTGCTGCACAGAGATTAATAATTATTATCTTATCTATTGTGAGTTGATGCAATTTCTTTTTTCCTCCCACACATCCACACGTCTGTTTCCTTCTGATCTGCATTTGTAGCTGAGCTACTGTTTAGCTGAAAGGAAGGAATTTGGTAATACCTCCCTAAAAGGATGCCTGTTCATCCAGTGACAAAGGATGGAGATGTTGGCTATTGACAAACTAAAATAAAGAACTTATTTTCCAAATATCCCAAGAGAAATAACCTCATCATTAAGGTATTTCTTGGGCATTCCAAGCTAAAAGTAAGAAATGAAAAAAGTCCAAAGATCTGAAACTCGCTTGAGCTCAATCAATCAATCTCATTGGACTATAGTTCTTACCATGCATAATTATAAACAACAGATGGAGAAATGCTCAGATAAAGCCAAAAGGGGTGGGTGGGGGAAAGTCACCCTGATGGTGGATGTTTTCAATTTGGACGTGAACCAGCCTTACACCCCTTGGTCTTTCAGGTTTCAGCATCAGCTCTTGGCAGCTCGGCAGGGCACAATGAAGGCATCACCCCAGGAGCCCACGGAGCCCCTGGGCCAGCTAGGCGCCTGAGGCTGGCAGCAGTGCCACACCAGGCTTCTTCCATGCTGCAGCTGGCTGGGAAGAAGCTTTTCATCAGGAGAAGGCACCAAAGTGATGGCCTGAACTTATGGGAGGAATGAGTGTCTGGCCAGACGGACATTTGGGGGCCCACTGGGAAGTGTGAAGGGCCAGTTTCAGTAAGGGCATGGCCAAAGCTTTCTTCAGGCTACAGAAGTTTCTCCGCCGGACCCAGTTTCTGCTCTTCTTCCTCACAGCAGCTTACCTGATGGCTGGCAGCCTCTTGCTACTGCAGCGGACACGCTTGGTTATCCAGCAAGGTTCGCGTGGGACCCCCACTAACCAGGCCCTGCCGGTGCTGGAGGAGATGAGCAGGGTTGGGATCATAGAGCCCAGGACCCTGCAGAGCTCCCGCCCTGGCCTCAGACTGCTGGTGGGCATGGATGCGCTGCAGGAGCCAGCTCTGGACCAGCAGCACAGCCCGCACTGGCTCTTGTCTCGTAACTCAGAGCTCAGGCAGCTGAGGAGAAGATGGTTTCACAGGCTCACCAGCGAGCAGGAGCCCCTGCAGACAGCAGGATTTAAAGCAATGAAGCACACTGCTGAACACAAAGGTAAGGGATGGACCCTACCCGTTTCCTGGCACACACATAGACCATGCTTTGCTGATCCCAAGCAGACACAGGTGAGCATCACATGCCCCTGCTGTCTGCCTTCCTCCTTGCTCATCACCACTTTCAAAACAGTTCTTAGGCATATGCATAGGCCAAAGTACAAAGGATCTATGCTGGGTGGCTGCTGTACCCTCACTGCAGCAGCAAATTATGAGTTTGCAATCTCTGATGGTTTGCCTTTTAGAAGAACTAGTTGTTCTTGGAGGTGTTTCACTGATAATAAAACAGGAATGGGATCTGGATGACTAGACACCACATTTCAGAACTGCTTTTTGTTTGAATAAATTTTCCCAAACAAAAGGGCACAAAATCCCACAAAATGGGTTCCACATCATGCTGCTTTCTGAGGGAATTGTCAGAAATGGGAATGAGAAGGCGATAGTGGTAGGAGATGAGTCATACAGTGTGAGTCAGGCAAACTGAACCTCTGGAGTTACCTGAAGCTCCAAGCTGCTCCATGGATGTTGCGGGTTTTGCTGGCAGAGGACAGACTAAGAGCTGCTCAGCCAGGGCATTGCTGAGGTTCTAACTGCTGATGAGAGGGGCCAGAAGGACTATTTATTTGTACATCTCACCATCTTGAACTGTAGATTCAAATATGCATCATTTGAATATCTGATTGAACATGACAGCACATTATTAATAACAATATTGTTAACAAGCATTGGAATGCCTTTGAAGGTAATTAATTAAAACTTAACTACCTATGCAGAGTATGTTATCTTCTCCAATTCACTTCTAGTAAACTTAGAGGCTTGTTATTTCATTATGGATCCCTTTTAAGACCTAATGAACTCCTCTGTGCTTATAATGCTTAATAAAGTTTCAGTGATGCCCTGTGGTTCCTGCTTAGTAGAGCAGCATTGCCTGACCATAGAGACTGGGCTCGTGCACACCTCATGGGTGCCATTCTAATAAGGCCATGGCTCCGAGGCAGTACAGCTCTGCCCCTCCTTGCCCAGGGGCTGCTAGCCAGCCCTTCAAAGGCTTCCTCAGGCAGACCTTTAACCCAAGCCACACGCAATGGCATGGCCCCAGCCTGTGAGCCTCCCAGCTCACTTTGCCTCACTCTGTCTCCACCCAGGAGCACGTGGTCCTCGGTGAGAAAATCCAAGTCCTTTTTTTCTGCAGGCCAGGCTATCTCACCTGCTGACACTGCAAGTGGCTCAGGGTAGGGACCACACTTTTCCTGACAGAGACACTGGCCAATACTGTTAATACAACAGTGAATGTTTTCTATTCTGATTGCTCCCAGTGGATGGAATTTCCAGTTACCCTGGCCTGGTTCTGCCATTGAACAGGATGCAGAGGTGACAAGGACTGTATGGCTGACATGATATGACATGCCACTGTGAGACCGTGAAATCTCCGTGACTCATTCATAGGAGGATGTGAATGAGAAATTGCTGCCAGGCTGGCGGTGGCTTGCGAGGGACACAGGGAGGAGGGCAGACAGTGGCTGGCCTGCCCAGGACCCCTACTCAGGCTCTTTGGCCCCACATCCTCAGTTTTCTGCTGCTACAGAATTGAAGTACCCAAATCAAAAGTCTCCCATAAAATGTGGAGCATATTTGTTGTAGGTGCCTGACTCCTACATCATTAATGGTGTGCATTCACAGCTAGTGAATTTTCTAATTACATGTTGGCAAATTATCTTGTGCAGGTCTTTGAATCTACTGTTGTGTTTGTAATATTTAAATGTTTGATTTATTATTCCTGGCTCAAAAATCTCTGATGGAGTAACTCAAACTTCCTTTTTCTTGTGTATTAGTTAATATAAGGTTTTTTAGTTTCATTTTTCACCATATATTCTTTTCCTATCCACAGCTTACATTATTTAGTTTCCCTGTGTTATCATCTCAATGTTGCTATTTCTAAAATCAAATTTCTTTTTTTCCTTCATATGTTGATGATAAAATGTATTTATAGACACATAATTGCTGTATAATAGTAGGACTCCACATCATTGTTCCAATTGTATATTAAATAATGGGCTGGATTTTTACAGTATTTTGTTCATGACAACAAAAATTAGCCTGAGCACTGAATGCAGTCTAAAAGAAATATTTATCTTTCCTATGCTAAGTAAAGCAAGACATATTTGAAGAGATTCCTTTGCACCAGAGAGGAGATAGCTCAGTGCGATAGCTGCATTGTGCTGCCTAGTTTAAAGTGAATTTATCTTTCCATTACAGCTTTAATGTAACTCTCTATATCCAAAGAAAATTGATTTTCTTAATATTTCTCTTGCACCATCTCATTATCAGCTAGAGATTTTAAAGAACACTTGGGAGAAATCCAACAAGATTTCTGGAAGTTTTTAGCATTTTGAAGGCTACATTCTGCTGTACTTTAGAGAAGTGCCATGTTCTGTCACCCAAAGGAGGGACCTGAGCACACAGCAGCTGCATGCAGGTGCTGCAGTCCTGTGTGGGTCACAGAGCCTGGCTAAGCAATGTCAGGTCTCCTGAAAGAAACCTGGGGAAGGGAAAGTCTTGTTTCCTTTTTGCCCGTTTCCATGGGACAGTGGCACTGTGGCACTGACCCCTTACCAAGGTTCAGTAGCAATGGAGAGTTCTGCAGAGGGTGTGGGACCCCAGACAGGTTGGACTTGGCCAAACGCAGCCCTGCTCTCAGCATGAAGCATTGGATAAGCCTGGGATGGGGTTTTCCCTTCCATCCCATATGCATTGCCTAACCCTGGTCTTGCATGCACACAGGCACCTACATGGGCTGCTTCACTCACGATTCGAGGGAGAGGACGCTGAAGGGAGCTGTTTTTTATGACTTAAGAAAAATGACAGTAGCTCACTGTCAGGAAGCTTGTGCTGAGAGGTGAGTGGTATTTTTTCACTACAAGTTTTCTCTCTTTTTTGACAATAAGTGGAACTGAATTTGAGATGGGAAAAGCATTCCTATGTTAAACATACAGCATCTATGAAAACAGTGATTATCTCATACCTTCAGGCACAGCATAGCTCTGCTTCTCTGCTTGAAGCAGACTGCTGCACTGCTGCCTATTCTCTATGGCACCATGGCTACTTACATTATATTCTCTATTGTCCTGGACAAAAATTACTTTTTGGTTAAATAGTCTTCGTAAGATATCCATCTTTTGATGGGTATTGGTGTCTAGCCTGTATCTTGCTGAGGGGCTGCCCCTGCTGCCGAGGCCACACTGTCTCCAGGACGGAGTCAGCTCCAGAGCAAAGCAGCAGGAGCTGTATGCAGGGACATGGGGACAGGTTCCTGCCTTCCTCAGGTACAAACTGGGGAGCAGATGGGCCCCTCAGTGACAGGGGCTGGTATTTCTCCTTGCAGGGCTTACAGCTACGCGGGGCTGGCATACGGAGCAGAGTGCTACTGTGGGAACACGCTGCCAGCTGCTGCCAGCAAGCCCGAGGAGTGCAACAGCGAGTGCAAGGGCGAGAAGGGCTCCGCGTGTGGAGGGGTGAACCGGCTCTCGGTCTACAGCGTGGAGCAGCTGCGGCCAGGAGCCAGGCGGAGTGAGTGTGACCGGACAGGGAGGCCGCGAAGGAGCGATGTCACAGCCAGGCTGAGCACAGGGGCTGTCCCTGCTTCTTGTCTGGCTCCGTTTGTCACCAGAGTTTGATACAGCAAAGGACAAAGGTGCCTGAAGGGCACAATGTCCATTTGCTACTGGTCTGGTCCCTGGCTTGTCCCCAGAATAGCAGTGCTGCTCCACCAGCCCAGAGCGGGACATGTGCCTGGCATGCTGCCTAGGGCTGCCACAGAGGAGGTTCCTGTCACCAGGGAGGAAACTCAGCACAGAGCAGAATGACTTCAACAGAAGCACAATTTCAGCTGAAAAAACCACTCCCTTTGGTATCTATTGATGGGCTACAAACCCATGTGTGTCTAAGAAATAGCCTTGTAAGAGATGCCCTGTAACAGGAGGGCAGAAAATCACTCAGATCAAGGCCACCCTACACTCAGATGATCCTAAACAAAGTAAGTGATCTGTGACTGTGAGGAATAAGTGGAGGACAGAAAGAGCCACATCAATCCCTTTCCTGAGAGAAAAGAGACCAGAGTTTGCTTTTCCATGGACTTCTGTTCCAGCAGCAGCTGGGAATTTTGTTCCATCTTTAGATGGCAACACATTATACCCATCATTCAGTTAGCTGCCATGGGGGACTCAATGGATAAAACTTTAGGCAAACACAAAGCACGTAACAGAGCTAAACAGCGTATCACTCTTTGCAATTGGCAAGCTCAGAAAACGTTATGGATGTTCTTTGCGGAGAAGAAACACCAAGACCTTAGGTTGTGCCAGTATTGGTGGTATTTCATTTCTTCTTAAATACAAGTCAAGGTTTGTACAATAATCCAACCAGCTACATATAAATTATATATCAAAGGTATATAGACCTGAATTGCCACTGTCAGGCTGACAGGCATGTTGGCAGGTTTCCCAGGACATACATCACTCTTTCAACCTCCAGTGTTAAGTATATAAACCTATTCCTCAGGAAAAGACAGCATTTATTTATTTTTTTTAAGTATTAATGAATTACTCCTCAAATTAGCCTAACCTGAAGCTAGACATGTGATTTTCTTGCCCTTAGTAATACCTGATTGTTGTCTGTTTAAAGAATCCCCCTGACACAAGGCAGTTGCAGGGCCAGCAGAAGTATTAATCACAATGAACAAGTACGTTAGAAAGTGACGGAGACTGTAAAGGCCCGCATGATTTATGCTGTGTACCATAGAGCACAGACCTCATGTAAGTCTTTTACACAGAGCAGATTCAGTGGCATCTCCACTTAAACCCTCCCAGACAGGGTTTGTTGTCTCCCATCTCTCTCCCTGAACACCCCGACTCAAGCCCCCGTGTCACGGGAAGGAGGCCCGGAGGGTGCAGCTGTGGTGGCCAGGGGTGGCTGTGGCAGAGTCCTGCGTGCCTCAGTTTTCCCCCGAAAGAGAGCGGGCAGAGCACACAGAGCCAGTTGTGTCCAGTGCAATCCATGGGTCCTCCATGGAGCATCCTGCTCCCTCCCAATGCTGGTGCAGGCAGGTCAAGCTTTCTTCCTGACACTGAGAAAACTCTAAACATGTTTGTAAACGTTTTGTTCCAGGAATTAAATATCAGTGTGAGATTTAGTAGAAGACCTTTCAAGAACATTCTGAGAAGTACAAACTTTATTCATTGGGGCCATGCTCAAGGGAGCTGGTCCTAGATAGACTCCTGTTCCTTTCAGCTTGGGGTGGAGTTATTTTATTTTATTTTCACATCACCTGAGTCATCCCAGAGATCCAGCTCTGCTTCTAGTAAATGGTTTGAATAGTTATAAGAACAAACTGTAAGCAGCTTCTCCTTAGATTGCTCTAGGCTTTTGCTAGAGAGTCAGGGCTTTTCTGCCAATAAATTCATGCAGAACTAATTCTTTTTTTTCTTAACTGCACCACGTCTCTCCTGTCATTCAACTCACTTCCCACATCAATTCTGACAATACGGTTCACTAGTGCCAAGCTCTGTGGTGTTTCTGCAGAAGCAGGTGAAATCCGAGGCTGGTGCTGAAGACACAATGAAAGTTGATCTCCCTGAGCAGCTGACAAAAGACCGGTTTAGAGTCTGAAAGGCTGCAGCAAACTCCCTTGGCCTGAAAAGGCATGGGAGCAGAGGGGCAGCTGAAGAGGAAGGTGGGTTCGATGAGGGGGTTTTCAGGAGTCATTTACATTCCTTTCCTTTTCTGATGCAGGAGCTTTGTAGATTTTTATATGGGACTTTTAACTCATTGAGGGGAAAGTAGGTCTTCAGAGGAAACTGGGACCCGCAAACAATAGCAATGCCCTTCGCTGGTGAAATTTAACTCAAACTCGGTGCTGCAGCGCTGTTTCCCGTGGTTTGTACAAAGATAAAGGCATGTGCTCCTTTCAATACCACACCATTTGAAACACGTTTTTCTAGTGTATATTGTAGTTTCTGTTATTTCTGCAGTCTTTGTAATACAAAATTTATTTTATTATTTTTGGCTTCTGAACCTAATATTATTCTTTGTGAAAGAGGCAGGATACTATGGACATCGTTTTCTAAGATAAACTTATTTCATAACCCTGCAGGGAGGAATGTTATCTATCGAGGATGTTTTAGAGCTCCAGAAAATTTAACAGACACCTTTCCCGCCTCTTTGATACAGCCCAATTTGACGGTGGAGACGTGCTCTGAATTTTGCTCCAAGAAAGTAAGAACAGTTCTCATTTCACATCCTTTCTTTTATTGTTATTTTAAATTCTAACCTGCTGAGGGAAGGGCAGAGATTAGTGCCTTAGAGCTTGAATTTGTAAATGAGTTTCTAAAGGAAAAAACTCAACAGGGTAAATACCCAGTGATGCATCTGGTCCAACTGCTGGAGTGGAAATGGCGGGAGGGAAAGTCATCAGAGTGGTGCCACTAGACATGAGACACAGGCAAGCTGCTCTAAGTGATGAGTATCGACCAGGACGAAATCAATACCGTTTCCGTTTCCAATCAAGCCCTGAGCCACATCTGACCCCAGGGGAGGTGGCTGCAGCTCATGGTGATACATGCTGCCAGAGGGTGGATGTGGCCTGGCAGCATCCAAAACGTGGCTCTAGTGCCCTCCAAGGGAGGTGGCATCACTCAGGAAGCCAAGCACAGGGCACGGGCAGGGCACCCTCTGCTTTTGTGGTTGTTGGTTCCCTCCCTGTCCTCCCCACTCTAATGGGGCTGGTGCTTTCTACACAGGGTTCACTGTATGGTCAGGTTTTGCCCACAACCACATTCAGCCTCACGCACTAAACTCAATGTTCAATTGCTTTTTGCAGCATCACAAAATTGATTAAAACAATTAAAAGCTGTTTGATTACAGTGTTTTGACCAGGACCCATGGCCCCAGTGCAATCTTCTCTCCCACAGAATAAGCAAATGGCTTCAAGTTACACAGGGGAGGTTTAGCTTGGATATTAGGAAAATTTTGAGATTTTCCCATGCAAAGCCCACTCCAGGTTTCTCTCCTTCCTCACTCATGTGCTGCCCAAACTGTGGGAAGGTTGTGCAGGTGAGGGTCAGCCTGTCCACCCAGCCTGCCCTGGGGACAGACACTGCACCACTGGCACCCTGCACTGATGACCTTCTAAAGATGCAGGAGTACAGAGAAGTTATCTTGTTGCCTCACAGAACCTCCAGCCGTCCAGAAAAGTTCATCACTTTCAGGAGCCACTTGGCATGAGGTACAAGGAACACTTTTATTCTAGGCTGTGTTTGAGGGCAGGGACACTTGCTAATTTCTCAAACTGAGAAACACGGCCTCATTGTAAAGGAAAAATTTCTGTTTGCAGGCAAACCCAGAACTGTTTTGACCTTGGATCAAATCTGTAAATAGTTTTTTGACAATGTCATATCTCATTCGCTAAGTAAATGTAGGCTGTTGGGCACACACAGCACACATGTTGCATTCAACTCCTTATCAGAGGATGAGTGCAAGGGAAAGAGCAAGAGATAAGCTGCTCAGCAGTCCTGTCACATGCTCCCAGACTCCAAAAGACTTTTAAAAGACAAAAAGTGTTGGTATGGAATAAATGGACTGGAAGGTTCTGCACTCAAATACTCCCTGAGCTTCCTTCAGCCTTCTGCCTACCCACACAGCCCTGTGCCACCAAGAGAGCCCACGGAGGACTCTAAGGCAACCCAAATCTTTTTGGTAAACAGTAGAAAACCTGAATTTTAGGGCCAGTAAACAACCGCTAATTTTTTTGGCAAATATTTAGCACATTTCCCTCAAACTTGTTTTAATTCTTACCACTATTAGCCCAGCAGCTGGGGGTTCACTGCCCTTTCACTATACATCTTTGCAGCCTGTTACCCTTCCTGGGTAAGATTGGTACACCAAAACCTGAATTACTCTGCATCAAATCCATTAAAAAAGACTTCTTACAGACAAGAATTTTCCTTAGGAATTTATTCCTTGCAAACAACACTAACTACACCTTCCTCATGATTGCACACCTTAGTAGGTTTCTACTAGAAGCAAGGTAACACAAGTATAAAGAAGTAACAGAAAAGTAGCAGGAACTTTAGAATGACACTGCTTTGATCTTGACAGTGGCCTCATTAAGATTTAGTTTCTTTGCATGGCAGCAGCATTCCCTGCAGGCTGTTGATGCCATGGCATTCACACAGCGATCCGTTTCCCCTCTTTTGCAGGAGTTCCCGCTGGCAGTGATCCGAGGGCAGGAATGCTACTGTGGGTACCCCACCAGGCAGTTCTCGCTGCACGAGGGCACGGACAGACCGCGCTGCAGTGGGACCCGCAACGCCAGCAGCGCTGCTGGAGGAGAGTATTGCCTGGTCTATCAGACACCTGTGCAAGGTACAAGCTCCAGCCTCGCTTGGCCAGGGCCACTGCTGCTGTGAACAGCCGCTGTGCCCCGTCTGCAGTGGGTAAAAGTGATCTCATTTACAGCAGTCTGAGCCACAGAAGTGGGTATCACCATACAGGCAGAAATTTAGGAAACAGGTTTTCTCTAAATTCCCCCCTTGCAATCATGCTCGTGAAGATGCATCTTTCCATTCTCTCATTACCCAACACCTTTTAAGACAACTTGCTGGCAAGTACAATGGTTTGTTGCAGCTTTATCAAAAAAGCATTGCCTTACACAAAACCAGCAGAAACCTCTTTGAGGATAATCTCTTTGACCTCATACAGCTGAATTAATTTTAGGAAGTAGCTGACTCACAACCAGACCAGATTGATACCCTATATTTCTAAAAGAGAGAAGGAAGAAGCAATAAACTCTGTAATCAAGAGCTGTCATTGGAATGACTAAAAAGCCACAATGGTAACAATGAATTATCTTCTCCACTCACAGACACCCGCTGCACGGACAGGAAATTCTTAACCACAAAATCCAAAGTATTTGTTGCTTTGTCAAGCTTTCCTGGGGCTGGGAATACGTGGGCACGCCATCTGATAGAGCATGCCACAGGATACTACACAGGAAGTTATTACTTTGATGGAGCCCTCTACAACAAAGGTACTGGGGCCCAAGAGATGGGACACAGGCAGCCCTTCCAAAGCACAGAGCTTTACTTAATGCTCTGTCATCCTTCTGCTTGAGCCAGCAATGGCTGTCACTGTCAGCATGTTTGGTACAATTTAAACACGCCTGGACCAAGCAGCTTCCCGCAGTGCAGATGGCAGCAGGGACAGCTCCCGCAGCACGTTGTTGTGACAGAGCAGCTGCCCTCACAAACAGCCAGCCTCTCCATCTGCAAATGTGCACACTTGCCTGCACTAGTGCCCTGTGCACACACACATGTGCAGCTCCCACCTGACAGGCTGGTCCAAAAGACCAGTTACCTAAATGCTGTGGGTAAGACCTTTCAGTAAACACGTAGGTTAAATTTTCAAACGTTACTAATTGCTCTAGGAGAACAGTATCCTGAGGTGGCAGAGGCTCAGCAAGCACCATGCACTGGCCCTGTGAAAAGCTGCCTCATTGCAGTGCAGGGCTGAGGATGCCTCCCCCAGCAGATAAGGATAACAGCAGAGGGATAACCTGGCCGCCAGCACATACCCAGCCTGGTGGTTGGGGCTCCACCATGGTTTAGCTGACTGGTACTGTCACACCTACTTTACACCACTGTAGGGAATGATTTAGTGGGAAAAGGTACAGATACATAATCAGGCAAAAAAGCCAATAATGGTGTCTTGTAAAACAGGTTTTAAAGGAGAAAAAGACCACTGGAGAAGTAGAAGGACCATCTGTGTGAAAACACACGAAAGTGGCAAGACAGAGATTGAAATGTTCGACTCAGCGATCCTGTTGATAAGGAACCCATACAAATCACTGATGGCAGAGTTCAACAGAAAATATGCTGGGCATCTGGGCTATGCCACTGACCGCAACTGGAAGAGCAAAGGTGAGCATTTCCCCAACACAGGCTGGTTTGAAACCCATCTCCTCGGAGTGCTGGGAAGGGGGGACATGCTAGGACCTGAGTGAGCACTGCAAACAAATACAGTGGGACTTGAGTCCTGCTGCAGCTGAGATCAGTCCAAAAACCTCTGACACCTGCATGGTGGCAGTGGCTGTGGTCTTGCTGTATGTCCACCCCTAGAGGGGAGGGGAATGCAGCACCACTGCCACAGGCACACGGGAGCATCACTGCCACTGCACTGTTGGGCATAGAAAACAGGTCCACGTGCAACGCTCCTGTGCACAGCCCGTTTGCCAGGCTGAGGTGAAGAAAATTTGCCCCTGCAGCATGTAATAACTATGAGAAATCTAGTTTAAGATTTGGAGTATCCAATGGAGCATGACATTTCATGAAGGATATTTTACAGCACTGCACAGGTGTTACTGCACTCCAGAAAAATAAGGATAATAGCAATAAATGGACCTGAAATTCAGTGTCCCTTGAACACATGAAAAGACTTCAGAACCTGCCTGCCACACTTCATCTGTTTGACTGGCAAGCTGGCTGGTGATTGCAATTTCCCCACTGGATACACTGCTGCATTCAGACTGCAGCAGAAAAGCTGTTTGGCTTACATTTCTCCTTGTACATATTTTAGGCATTACAGCTGTGGCTTGGCAGAGGGCTGGGGGGAAGTGTCCTGTGTCACAGCACATTTCTTTCCCATGCTGATGCATCACCTTTCATCAGACACAACTCAAGACCTTTTCATCAAAAACTGACAAAATAGCCCCCAGAAAAAAGAAAAAGTCTGCTGGGAGTGGCTTTCCTATACAACTAACTGCAAATTGTTACATTCCAGCCACAAATGCTCTTTGTCCAGCCCAAAAGCTTTCACTAGGACTGTCTTGACTTCAGGTAATTAAATTATCAAAGATAGCAAATAGAGATCAAGGTATCATTAATGTCAAAGACAAAGGAAAATTGCTGTTGTACAGCATGGCTAACAGTGTCTCATTTTCCTGGTTTCTTGGTGATCCAGAGTGGCCAGATTTTGTGAACAGCTATGCCTCCTGGTGGGCCTCCCATGTCCTAGAGTGGCTGAAGTACGGGAAGCGTCTGCTCGTTGTCCATTATGAGGATCTGAAGCAGAGCCTCATCCCCAAGCTGAAGGAGATGGTGGAGTTTCTGAATGTGACAGTGACAGAGGACCGGCTGCTCTGTGTGGAGAACAACAGGGATGGGAATTTTAAGCGGTCCGGTGCTAAACAAAAGAATTTTGAGCCATTCACCCAGGAAATGAAAGATCTTATCAACAGATATATCCTGACAGTGGATGAAGCCCTAAGGGGAAGAAACTTCTCAGGGCTGCCCAGGGAGTATGTGCCAAGATGATATGCTGGTATCATGCTGCTGTGGTTAAAAATATTTTTTTTTCCTTAAAAAAGCAGAAAAAACCCAAACAAAAAATCCACAAACAAACAAGAAGAAAAGTGGAAAAAAAATAAAATAAAGACCTCTTTAGCAGTTATGGCAAAGATACTTGTGGAAGCTGCTGAGCAGTGCAGCAGTTAGGAATGCCTGGGTTTTGTCAATCCCCAAACAGCCCCAAACCTGGCTCCAGGGGCATGGAGGAGACTCCAGAGGGGTGGCAGAGAAGGGAGTGCCACCTTTGCTAGGGGTTCGGCACCGGTTTCTGCATCTCCATCTCTTCACCTGGAGAGTCACGATGGGTCTGGGGGGACACCAGGGCTAAATGTCACCATGGTCAGTGCTCTTGGTTCTAGAAATGGCCACAGAGAGGCCGGGCTGATGTCAGCGGGGAACACCTGGGGAACAGGAGCAAAAAGGGTGAACTCCGGCCCTCCCAGCCCCAGCAGGGGTAGGATTGCACCTCCTACCTCCTCCCTGAATCCCTGGAGGACCTCCGAGGCAGTCCAGCCTGAAAAATCACAGCTACTAAGAGCTGCCCTCTGGAGTTCCCTTCAGCAGACATGCAGGTTTGATTTTTAACTCCTGCAGTCACCTGAGGTTTGTTTGACCCTGCAGGGTGCAGTGGGGAGAGAACAGGGGCACATGGGGCTGGCAGGGCAGCTGGCCCCATGATCCCAGGCCACTGGGCAGTCTGGAGGTGGTTAAACCCTGGGGCCCAAGAGACTGCCCTGCTGCGAGATGCTTCTGTTCATGTGAAATAAAGGATTTCTTAAAAATTTGAGTGAAAATACTAATTTTAATAAAACAAGTTTATATAAAGGGAGCTGAACTTCCTCTGCCTGTGTATCATTGGTGTTTTAAAAACAATACAGGACATGGAGTACGCTGCAACCCAAGTCTCTCCCTGTTTACACCGCACACGTGGCTCATCTCTGTGCCACCTGCCTGGTATGGGGCTTGTTGTGGGGCTGTCATATGCCTGTCCCAATACTCAGTGCCTTCCCTGGCAGTAAGGCTCACAAGGTGTTATAAATGCAATGGCAAATTAGGGTTAATATAAAAAGCGATTTATTATAAAACAATTTCAATCACAAACAACAAGAGAAAAAACCACAATAAAATAAATCAGCGCAGCGCTGGGTGGACAGGGGTCTATACCCAGAGGTACAGATTTACCCAAATCCACAAAGGAGGGTAGACTGTCTGGGGTTTTTATAGGGATTTTGTGTCCTGAGGCTAAAACTCCGAGCAGTTACTATTCAACGAAGAGTTTAGATGGCTGGTTGAATGAATTTCCTGGAACCGTGGAACTGAATCAATAGACGACTGGGCAGAGTCCTTTTGCATGTGAAAGGTTCTGAGTGCTTCCCGATTGTATCCTCGGTTGGACTCTCAGGGTGAAGTGTCCAGGTCCGGTGCGGAGTTGATGGATATCTCGGCTGGGCTCCTCTCATTGTTTGGCCTGATTGCATCTTCAGTTGGGGCTTGCAGGGTGGAGTGTCCAGGTGGGGTGCGGAGCCGATGGGCATCTCAGGCTGGGTATCCTCTCATTGTTTAGCCTGATTGTCCGTGTCCTCCTCTTTCTCTCAGGCTGATAAGTGTCACCTAGGGTCGTTACCGCCTGGATGGGTAGTTACTGCTGGGTCTGGGGAGAAATCCTTAGGCCACACTATATTTTATATAATTTTTACATTGTTACAAATACAGTTATATACTTATTTATTCTTTCACGAATTTTTATCCAAGGTTACATTTATCACA